ATTGTACATTCACATCAGTCCCTAACCCTCAAGGGGTGTACAATCTAAGGTCCCTAACTCACATTCATACATACACATACTATGGACAATGTAGACTGGAGCCAATTAACCTACCAGCATATCTTTGAAGTGTGAGAGGAAACTGGAGTACCTAGAGAGGAACCCACGCAGGCACAGGGAAAACATGCAAACTCCAGGCAGGTGGTGCTGTGGTTGGGATTTGAACCACTGACCCTATTGTTGTCAGGTGGAAGTGATAACATTTAGCCACTGTACTGCCCAAATAATAACTTTCAACATTTCTGCAAAGTGGCAAAATCAGCCATCAGAATCGGCGATTTTCAATTCAGCTAAATGGTGAAAATTGGTATTTTTGCCCAAAGACACTTTAGAAACAGACAGAAATAAACAGGGATGAACAGTGGTGGATGCTGACCAGTGATGTCATTAGGTTTTGTGCTGCTCTAGGCAACACAAAAATCAACCATACCACCCCCCCCCTCGAGAGAGCCTTTCGCTACCACTGCCCCCCATACACCAGCCAGGTCCCCATGCTGGGTGTGTCCCTTCTTCCGTCCCTTCCTTCTTCAGAGGGGAAGTGCTGCCCCCCCTGAAAAATATCGCCCTAGGCAACTGCCTTGTGGTAAATACACCCCTGATGCTGACTACAAAATCCTTGTCATACCAATTAGGAAGGCTATCATTTTCATCTAATTTAGTCCTAGCCATATCTTCGTGGATTTCATCTTGTCCATTGCAGATTTGGTCTTCCTCCAGGTAGAACTGTCTTGGCGGATGACATGAGTGGCATCCCTAAGCCAAAGTCACCTTCTTAAATAAAGTCGTATTGTGTGATGCTGAGAAAGATTTTGTGCTGTTATCGGCATGCTTTATTCATCAATTATTTCCAGAGTTACAGATTAACGCTCCGCATTCCTTAATTTATCCATTAAAAGGAAACCAGGCTAGAATTTAAAGAACACTACACTTTATTAAAAAAAAAGGTACACAACACATCACTACCACTTTAGAAGATCTGTAGCCTTTCTGCGACACCAAATTTACTGTCTATGGTGTCTGCAGACTTTAGACTGCCACCCAAATATGCAAGGAGTGGTCTTTACTCCCCTTATGGTTACCCTTCCTCCCCCTGTGAGCAACACTTCTCCAGGGGTCACCAGTCCTCTTCTCATGATCACCTCTCCTCTGCTTGTTGCCACCCCTCTTCCACTCATGATCATACCTTTTCCTTCCATGATCACCGCTGCTCATATTGTGGTCACCTCCCCGGCTCCGATGTTCACCCCTTCTTCTCCCATTGTCACTCTTCATTGTGCTGTTGTCACCCTTCATTCGTCTTCCATCAGTCACCTCTCCTTCTCCCTTGGTCACCCCCCCCCCTCTGCCTATAGCCACCCCTTCTTCATCTATGGTCACTCCTCATCCTTCCATGGTCACCCTTCCTCAATCTGTGGTCACCCTTTCACCACTAAAGAACACATTGTCTCCTCCTCTGGTCACCTCTCATCCTCAGCATGTTGTAGTTGAGCAGATCTGAATTCAGAAAAAAAAGAAAGCTCAAACATGTCACCCACATTCAACTGGTTAGTCAATCAGTTACACAAGGCACTCAGTTCAAGGTGTACAGTGGAGATAACTGTGAATACATGGTGACATATTCCATCAATGGGGATGCAGAATTTGTGCAGGGGCAGAAACTATCAGGGCACAGGAAGGTGGCAATGGCAAGCAGGGTAGAGCTCAGAGACCTAATACAGTGCACAGTTCCAGCACTAAGTAAAAGCAGTCAGAAATTGACTAATGTTTTTTTAAATCACTGCAACTGTGCTAAAGTCACAGAGTCCTCTCAGTTAACATTGATCTAGGTTCTAAGCAATCCCCTAATTACTAACCTTAACTCTAACCATGATTCTAAACCTTAATAAGATCACTAAGCCTAACCCCTAACCATGACCCTAACCCTCTACCTAATCACTAAGCATAACTGCGACTAACTCTCAGTCTAACTACTAACCATAACCCTGGCTCTAACCTTCAACCTAATCTCTAAATCCTAACCCCTAACCATGAGCTTAGCCCTGAACCTAATAATCAGTCCTACCCCTAAAACCATGGCCCTTAACCTAATCATTAAATTCTAACCCCCAGTTATGACCCTAACACTCAACCTAATATCAGAACCTAGCCCCTAACCATGACCTTAACCCTCAGCCTAATCCCTAAAAATAAACACTAACCAATCACTTCTGATTTGTTCACACCATGTCTGTTGCGTTTTTCTGCACACCACTGCACATGTATGGTGTAAACACAAAACATAGAAAACAATTGTTTTCTGGTATGAATAGGTCCTAAATCCTCACCCCTAATCATGACCCAAGCCCTCAACATAATAACCCTAACCATGACCCTAGCCCTCAACCTAATCATAAAATTGTCAACCCTAACCCCTAACCATGTCCCCAGCCCTCAAACTAATCATCAAGCCTAACTCCTAACCATGACCCTAGCCTTCACCCTAATCATTAACTCTAATCCCTAACCATGACCCTGGCCTTCACCCTAATCATTAACTCTAATCCCTAACCATGACCCTAGCCATCAACCTAATCATCAACCCTAACCATAACCCTAGTCCACAACTAATAATAAAATCATCAACCCTAACCATGACCCTAGCCATCAACCTAATCATCAACCCTAACCCCTAACCATAACCCTAGCCTTCAACCTAATCATAAAATCATCAACCCTAACCATGACCCTAGCCATCATCCTAATCATCAACCCTAACCTCTAACCATGACCCTAGCCATCATCCTAATCATCAACCCTAACCTCTAACCATGACCCTAGCCCTCAACCTAATCATAAAATTGTCAACCCTAACCCCTAACCATGACGCAGGCCCTCAAACTAATCATCAAGCCTAACCCCTAATCATGACCCTAGCCATCAACCTAATCATAAAATTGTCAACCCTAACCTCTAACCATGACCCTAGCCCTCAACCTAATCATAAAATTGTCAACCCTAACCCCTAACCATGACGCAGGCCCTCAAACTAATCATCAAGCCTAACCCCTAATCATGACCCTAGCCATCAACCTAATCATCAACTCTAACCTCTAACCATGACTCTATCCCTCAAGCAATACTAACCATAATCCCTAACTATGAGCCTAACCACAAATTTAATATTCAACCTCAAACCCAAATCTTGCCTCTAACCTTCAATCTAATAACCACCTATTAAGGACCCTAAACCTCAACCCAAATCCTAACTTTAACCCCTAACCATGACCGTAACCCTCAACCTAATAACCAACCCCAACCCCTAACCATAACCCTTGATTGAATCAATAACCCTAACCACTTATTAAGAACCCTAATGCCTAACCATGACCCCAACACTCAACTTAACTGCTAACCCCTAAAAATGACCCTAACCGTCAACAATATTAGCTAACCCTAGTCTTCCTCCATAATTCTAGCCTCCATAACCTAAAATGTAAAGTATATGAAAACCTAATTATCCAAACCTCCTAGAAGATCTAAGCCGCTAACCATAGCCCTAATCTGCAACCTAACTACCATACTGTACATCTAAGCCTAACTTCTTTATGCAAAATCCCCCAAATCACACAATGTCCTACTGAATGAACAAAAGAAGTTTACAGCATGAACACTTCAGGTAGAGTAGTTTGTGGTTAAAAAAAAAATCGCACCCAGACATCAGCGGCGAAAACATCGGATCCATCAAGTTCAACTTTCTGTAGGCAGCTCCGGTCAGAGAACACTGCAACCTTCAGCACAAGCAGAGCTGCCAGCGATTGGAGCATTTTCATTACAAGGTCAATTATTAACCACCGGATTATTTTATATCAAGCCACTTAATTTTACTTTTCGTCCTTCACAGATCAGATCAGGTAAGAAATATCTGTCTGTTGTTTTCTTTAATAATGTTGATAAATGGGGTTTTCATATTTAGTTGTATCAAAACTGAATTAGTACAGTTTGGATCAGTGGTGGATCTTGTATGGACATACACAGCAGATTTACATCTGATGAGGAATCTGTGAACTAGTTTTATTAAACGACTGATTTATCCAAGCAATGTCCTCCTTCCTTTTTTTTCTGATAGTTCTTTATTTATAGCAGCCTTTCTCAACATTTTAACCTCAAAGTAATCCCTAAAGTGATATTTGGGTCCCAGGGAACCCCAACTAAAAACAATTCACTGGAGGGTAATGGCAAATGTATCCCTTACAGGGGTGGTCAGTGGGAGGAATGCTCCTTACTTAGGTGATCAGTGAGAAGAATGTCCCTAACATTGGTGGTCAGTGGGAAGAATGTTCCATACATTGGTGATCAGTGGGAAGAATGTTCCATACATTGGAGGTCAGTGGGAAGAATGTCCCTTACATTGGTGATCAGTGGGAAGAATACTCCTTACATTGGTGATCAGTGGGAAGAATGCTCCTTACATTGGTGGTCAGTGAGAAGAATGCTCCTTACATTGGTGATCAGTAGGAAGAATGTTCCTTACATTAGTGATCAGTGGGAAGAATGTTCCATACATTGGTGATCAGTGGGAAGAATGTTCCATACATTGGTGGTCATTGGGAAGAATGGCCCTTACATTGGTGATCATTGGGAAGAATGTTCCTTACATTGGTGATCATTGGGAAGAATGCTCCTTACATTGGTGATTGTTGGGAAGAATGTCCCTTACATTGGTGATCAGTTAGAAGAATGTCCCTTACATTGGTAATCAGTGGGAAGAATGTCTCTTACATTGGCAATCAGTGGGAAGAATGCCCCTTACATTGGTGATCAGTGGGAAGAATGCCCCTTATATCGGTCAGTGGGAAGAATGTTCCTTACATTGGTGATCAGTGGGAAGAATGCCCCTTATATCGGTCAGTGGGAAGAATGTTCCTTACATCGATGATTAGTGGGGAGAATGCCCCTTACATTGGTAATCAGTGGGAAGAATGTCTCTTACATTGGCAATCAGTGGGAAGAATGCCCCTTACATTGGTGATCAGTGGGAAGAATGCCCCTTATATCGGTCAGTGGGAAGAATGTTCCTTACATCGATGATTAGTGGGGAGAATGCCCCTTACATTGGTGATCAGTGGGAAAAATGTTTACATTGGTGATCATTGAGAAGAATGTCCCTTACATTGTTGTTCAGTGGGAAGAATGTCCCATACATTGGTGATCAGTGGGAAGAATGTCCCTTACATTGGTAATCAGTGGGAAGAATGTTCTTTACATTGGTGGTCAGTGGGGAGAATGGTCCTTACATTGGTGCTCAGTGGGAAGAATGTCCCTTACATTGGTGGTCAGTGGGAAGAATGGTCCTTTCATTGGTGGTCAGTTACAAGAGTTCTCCTTTCATTGGTGGTCAGTGGGAAGAATGTCCCTTACATTGGTTGTCAATGGGGAGAATATCCTTTACATTGGTGATCAGTGAGAAAAATGTCCCTTACATTGGTAATCAGTAGGGACTATATCCTTTACATTTGGTGGTCAGTGGGGAGTATTTCCTTTACATTTGGTGGTCAGTGGGGACTATATCCTTTACATTGGTGGTCAGTGGGGAGTATTTCCTTTGCATTTGGTGGTCAGTATATCCTTTACATTGGTGGTCAGTAGCTCGAATACTCCTTACATTGGTGGTCATTGGAAAGACCTGGCTCAGAATTGGTGTTCCAATTCATTCCAAAGGTGTTCAATAGGGATGGGATCAGGGATCTGTGTGACATTTGAGTTCCTGCACATCAAGTTGGTCAAACCATGTCTTCATGGATCTGGCTTTGTACACAGGGACACAGTCATGCTGGAACAGTCTTCCCCAAACTGTTACCTCTAGGCTGGAAGAGCACAATTGTCTACAATGTCTCTGTATGACGTAGTATTACCAGGACCCTTCACTGGATACACCTAATCCCTATCCTTTGGAGGGGCATCATGTACTTTTGGCTATACAATGTGTGTGTTTGATTTCCAAGGAAACAACAAAATTCTGCTGATCAAATGAAGAATGTTGAGAAATAAAAACCCGGCTTTTTAGTTTACTGTTTAAAAAAGTATAACACAGTTTGGCCAACACAACCTACAGTTGTGGCCAAAATTATTCAACCCCCAATGCTGTAAAGGGGTTTAGGGACTATAGTGTACATTTGGAATTGTATTCAGAATCAAATCCTACAAGGACGTTGTAACTACCCAAATGCAACTAAAATGACATCAATTGTTTATGTAATACAGTAGTAAATGGTTCTTATGTGGTTTCTTCATTGCCACAATTATTCAACCCCTTAAAGACTACCACTCTGAAGAACAGAGGTTCATACAGGTGCTTTCCATCAGGTATTGAAAACACCTGTGGATGTCACCGAGCAGCAATCAAGCATAATAAGCACCAATTAGGCAGCTTTAAAATGACTGTGATACTCAGCTCCTTCTAGACATTTACTGGTGTGGTTACAAACATGGTGAAGGCAAGAGAATGGTCCAGGAAGACAAGAGAAGAGGTGATTTCTCTTCACAGGAAGGGCAATGGCTATAAGAAGATTGCAAAGATGTTAAACATACCAAGAGACACCTTAGGAAGCATCATTCGCAAATTCAAGGCAAAGGGCACTGTTGAAACGCTACCTGGTCGTGGCAGAAAGAAGATGCTGACTTCGACTGCTGTGCGCTACCTGAAGCGTAGAGTGGAGAGAAGTCCCCGTGTGACTGCTGAGGAACTGAGAAAAAGATTTGTCAGATGTGGGTACAGAAGTTTCAGCCCAGACAATAAGACGCACACTGCGTAATGAAGGCCTCCGTGCCAGAACTCCCAGGCGTACCCCCTTGCTGTCTCCAAAGAATAAGAAGAGTCGACTGCAGTATGCCAAAAGCCATGTGGACAAACCACAAAAGTTGTGGGATAGTGTTCTGTGGACTGATGAAACAAAATTAGAACTGTTTGGGCCCATGGATCAACGCTATGTTTGGAGGAGGAAGAAACAAGGCCTATGATGAAAAGAACACCTTGCCTACTGTGAAGCATGGTGGAGGGTCAATCATGCTTTGGGGCTGTTTTGCTTCTGCAGGTACAGGGAAGCTTCAGCGTGTGCAAGGTACCATGAATTCTCTTCAGTACCAGGAGATATTGGATGGAAACGTGATGCAGTCCGTCACACACCTGAGGCTTGGGAGACGTTGGACCTTTCAACAGGACAATGATCCCAAGCATACCTCCAAGTCCACTAGAGCATGGTTGCAGAGGAAAGGCTGGAACATTTTGGAGTGGCCATCGCAGTCACCAGACTTAAATCCGATTGAGAACCTCTGGTGGGACTTAAAGAAAGCAGTTGCAGTGCGCAAGCCTAAGAATGTGACTGAACTGGAGGCCTTTGCCCATGAAGAATGGGCGAAGATACCCGTAGATCGCTGCAAGACACTTGTGTCAAGCTATGCTTCACGTTTAAAAGCTGTTATAACTGTAAAAGGATGCTGTACTAAGTACTAAGATTGAATGTCACTTGGGGGTTGAATAAAACTGATAATGCTGTGAGCACAGAAAAAAGACATTTGTGGTTATTTCATTATAACTGTTATGTTATATTTGTCTGACCTACAAGTGCCTCTTTAATGTAAATGTAAGCAAGATGACTGAATGATCAAAAGCAATGTCAAACTGGCCAAAACACTCAATTTCAGTGGGGGTTGAATAATTTTGGCCACAACTGTATATAAATGTATAATAATAGTGTGTGACTGTGGGGAGGGGACATTAGAGTGTAAGCTCCTCTGGTGCAGAGACTGATGTGACTGGCTCAGTGTTCTCTGTACAGCACTACGGTATATGTCAGAGCTATATAAATGTATAATAATAGTGTGTGGCTGTGGTGGGACATTAAAGTGTAAGCTCCTCTGGTGCAGAGACCGTTGTGATTGGCTCAGTGCTCTCTGTACAGCGCTGCGGTATATGTCAGAGCTATATAAATGTATAATAATAATAGTGTGTGACTGTGGGGGGACATTAGAGTGTAAGCTCCTCTGGTTCAGAGACTGATGTCACTGGCTCAGTGTTCTCTGTACAGCACTGCGGTATATGTCAGAGCTATAATAATGTATAATAATAATAGTGTGTGACTGTGGGGGGCATTAGAGTGTAAGCTCCTCTGGTTAGGAGGGTCATGTGACTGCCTTGGTGCTCTCTGTACAGCACTGCGGTATATGTCATAGCTATATAAATGAGAATAGGAAATACACTGAGAGATTTATCTGCATGCACTTCTGATATAATCTGAATCGATACAAAGTTGTGATCTTTTATTGTATCTCTCGGAGTGTCTGATCTTTATATTGTGATGTGATTTTGCTGGAAGAATCCATTGACAGATTATATTTGGGGGTCTCTGTTTGGCACAGGTCGGGGTCTCTTCTATCCCTGTTAAAATGATTCAGGTCCCTGAGAACTACAGAGGACCCTGGCCCTGGTATCTGACCAAGGTAAGGCGTTGGCTGCGGTGATGGCTCCATATTTGTACAGGCAGAGTCGCTGTGACCTCATACTCAGGGGGGTATTAGCAGCTCTCCTCTCAGTACCCAGAACACAGAAAGAGTTCAGGCAGATGACAGGGCAACAACTCTCAGACCTCGGGGAGGCTTTCGGCTCCGACTCTCAGACCTCGGGGAGGCTTTCGGCTCCGACTCTCAGACCTCGGGGAGGCTGTCGGCTCCGACTCTCAGACCTCGGGGAGGCACTCGGCTCCGACTCTCAGACACAGGGAGGCTCTCAGCTCTGACTCTCAGACCTCAGGGAGGCTCTCAGCTCCGACTCTCAGACTGTTAGCTTTCCTTAACCCAATATCTAATATTTGCTTATTAACAGTACTAACATGTATGAATGAGTTGGATCTTAATAGAATAATTGAGTTATTATATTTATATTTGTTCTAGATTGGGAAAAGTAAGTAATTAGACTTCATAGTCTGTGAATATACATATGAACATATATCTTGGGTTTTCTTTACATTCAAGCCACACATGTGGTAGCAATTGGTCTATCCATCCTTCCCCATCTATGTAAGAGATTATGTTTCACTAACTAGAGAATTGTAAAAATCTATTTCATACATGTTAGGTTTATAAGATTTATACTGTAATATTTCTTGATTACGATATTTATATATGAGATAACTCTTATTAAGATTACTTTTAGGAGAATATACTGTATATATATATATATATGTGTGTGTGTAATACTTCTAATATAATCTGATTGATGGAATGTCTAGACCTTCTTAAGTTATACTCAGACTTTAGAAGTAGACTGGAGGTTTGTTATATATACACATCTGTTTCCAATTATCTTGGTGGGACTACAAGGAACACAAGAGACGATCAGACCATTTTTAGGAGATGGTGGGGGCTGGATTGCTCTTTTAAGAGCAGAACAAAGGTTTGAGTTGGACACTCTTTGCTAGAAGTCTTGATGCGATAAACCACACACACACATATACTGTACATATATACAATCTTATTATCAAGAACCTAACTATTTTTTTTTGGACATTACTTAAACATTCTGTATTCCAGTATTTTATTTCTAATTTTATGCAACATTATTATTATTAAATCATCTTTTTGAGTTTATGCAAGAAGTGGAAGGACTTTCTATCTGAACATTTCTCATCAATACAAGTTAAACAAAATATCGAGAGAATACGATATTTTACACAGACACAGGGAGGCTCTCAGCTCCGACTCTCAGACCTCAGCGAGGCTCTCAGCTCCGACTCTCAGACACAGGGAGGCTCTCAGCTCCGACTCTCAGACACAGGGAGGCTCTCAGCTCCGACTCTCAGACCTCAGCGAGGCTCTCAGCTCCGACTCTCAGACCTCAGCGAGGCTCTCAGCTCCAACTCTCAGACACAGGGAGGCTCTCAGCTCCGACTCTCAGACACAGGGATGAAGATAAATCAGTAATAATTCTGGCTGCACAGTGATGATCACATAAGATCTTTGCAGAGGCTAGTCATGGCCGGTTCTCTTTATGAAAATGCGTTTTGTACGGCGGCCCCACGTGAGGAATAGAACGGGTTTTCATGGCAGCAATCATCGCCTATCGGGTCACGGCTGGCGCTCGGCGTCCTTCCATCAGGCATTGAATGCAGTCTATCTGAGGGACACGTGACGGGGGAGCAGTGCGACCTCAGACTAGCTATTCACGGGGACACAAAGCAGACATGTGGCGGCACCGCTTACAAAGACGCCAATCTTCTTACTGCAGGTGAATGGAGGGTGTGGGGCTGTGAGCTTCTCACAATGTGCATTAAAAACTGCAGTAAATCGGATAGAGCCTGCCATATTTCCTGGCTGGAGGACATCCAGCATCATTTAGCACTTTCCTCCCCAGCCTGGCTGGCCCTGGCCCATCCCTTTCATTCATTGTAATGCAGTTCTTTTAATTATGGAGGCTCATCATCATTACCTATGTATATGCAGCCTGCCAGGGAACATCCACTACTCTAGACTGACACCCACCCATCACGGCATTTTGATATTTGCATAACTCCTTCCAAGAGCCAGCC